TGCAAACAACATATGTTAACAAGGTGCCAATGAATTTAAGTGTTTGTTCACCAATGCCAGAAGTCTGCCAAGCAAAATAAGTGAGTTGGAAGCTTTGGTGCATGAAGAGAACTATGATTTAATTGGTATTGCTGAATCTTGGCTTTATTCTTCACATGACTGGGCCATTAATATTTCTGGCTATGTTCTCTTTCGGAGAGACTGGGTAAATAGGAATGGTGGTGGTGTCTCTCTATATGAAAAGTGATCTCAGAGCGAGTGTGAAAGAGGACCTAGTTGATGGAGAGCGTGATGAGGCTGAAGTATTATGGATGGAACTGCATAGTGGGGTGCATACTACTAAGGTAATCTTTGGAGTTTGTTATAGGGCTCTCAGTGTTAATGAGGAAGCAGAGACTCAGCTCCTTGCACAGATCGAAAGGGCTGAAAGGGCTGGGACAGTGATGATGGGGGGTTTTTAACTACCCGGAAATTGACTGGCGTAATGGTACTGCAGGAACACGTAAAGGGCAAAGATTTTTAAACCTACTACAGGACAATTTTATGGTACAGTTCATAGAAGCCCCTACTAGGAATAATGCTCTGCTGGACCTTGTAATCTCAAACCATGCAGGGCTTATTACGAATGTCCATATAAAATAGCATATGGGTAGCAGTGACCATAACATGATTTCATTTATTGTTAGCTGTAAACAGTGAGCACATACGGGAAAATTAAAAACACTAAATTTTAAGAGAGCCAACTTTCCAAGGCTGAGAGCTGCTCTCCAAGAATTAGACTGGGAGAGAATATTGGCATCAATGAACACAGAAATGGGAGTTCTTCAAAAAAACTGAATGTGAACACACTACAAAATATATTCCCATGGGCAACAAGTTTAAAAGGCTAAAAAAATCAATCCTATGTGGCTTACGGCCAAAGTTAAAAAAGCTATAGATAATAAGAAAAGAGCTTTTATAAAAATATAAAAATGAAGGAACGCTATCATCGTTTAAACATTACAACGAATATAACAGAATATGTAAAAAGGAAATAAAGGCAGCAAAAATTGAAAATGAAAGTCAGATTGCAAAAGATAGCAGGACCAACCCCCAAAAATTCTTCAAATATATTACTAGTAAAAATGTCCGGTCTGAACATGTAGGCCCTTTACAAAATAATCTAGAGTGGATGACTGGGGACAAAGAGAAGGCAAATTTATTAACTACCTTCTTCAACTCTGTGTATACAAAGGAGCATGGGAGAGCTGTTGTCCATAATGGGCATGGTATTGACACAGCTCCAGATGATCCACATTGGCTCACAATTGATATGATCCAAAAATATTTTGACAATATATAGGTAAATAAAGCACCTGGACCAGATGGCATACACCCACGGGTCCTTAAGAAATTGAGCTCTGTCATTTCAAAGCCATTGTTTCTAATTTTTAGGGACTCTTTAATGACTGGCATAGTACCACTGGATTGGTGTAAGGCCAATGTGGTGCCAATATTTAAAAAGGGGTCAAAATCTTTACCAAGTAATTATAGACCTGTTAGTTTAACTTCTATAGTTGGGAAGATCCTGGAGAGTTTAATAAAAGACCACACAGATGAGTTCTTGCTGGAAAAAAATATTTTAAGCAACAGACAGCATGGATTCATGAAAGACAGAAGTTGTCAAACAAATCTGATTTCTTTTTATGAGGGGATGAGCAAAACCTTGGACAGAGGGGTGGCGGTGGGCGTGGTATACTTGGATTTTGCAAAATCGTTTGACACAGTTCCCCACACAAGGCTAATGTGTAAGGTAAAGTCTACGGGATTGGAAAAATCTGTATGTAAATATTGGAAAACTGGCTAAAAGATCGTATTTAACCAATTAAATACCGGGCAATTTTACACCTTCCTGCCCAGGCCATTTTTCAGGTTTCAGCGCTCTCACATTTTGAATGACAATTGCGCGGTCATACAACATTGTACCCAAACTAAACTTTTATCATTCACACAACTAGAGCTTTCTTTTGGTGGTATTTAAGCATCGCTGGGGTTTTTATTTTTTGCTAAATTAACAAAAAAAGTCTGAATTTTTTTTTAAAAAAACACATTTTTCTTTGTTTCTGTTATAAAAGTTTGCAAATAAATAATTGTTCTTCATAAATTTAGGCTGTTACATGTCTTTGGTGAAAATAACCCAAATTATGATGTATTATTTAGTTTGTAGGAAGGTTATAGAGTTCACAAACTATGGTATAGATCTGAATATTGATCAATCCTGAAGTACTGACAGCCAATCTAATTTCTTGAGGTCCAAGAATGTCAGGACAGTACAGATATCCCCCAAATTACCCCTTTTTGCAAAGTAGGACAGTCCGACGTACTTCATAAGAGGCATGGCGAGTTTTTTGAAGTTGTATTTTTTTTTTCATATTTCACTATGTCCAAAGTAGTACAATGTTACCATAGCTGTACTACTTTGGGGAAGTGATCAGTATTTTTTTTTTTTTTACACAATTTGCTTATAGCAAAGAATTACTTTGCTATAAGCAAGCATTTACCTGAATAACATCGATTCATTCAGGGTGTTTTTTTTTTTTTTTTGTGCTTAGCTGTGATTTGGCCACAGCTAATCACTTGACATGTGCATGTGATTAGCTGTGAACATTCACAGCTAGACACTAGTATACAATGGATGGCATGAATGAAGCCACGAAGTACGAAAAAAAAAAAAGAATTGATTTTTTATTTATTTATTTATTATTTAAAATGTTTTATTAATTTTTTTTCTCTTTTTTCAAGATTTTTTTTTTATATTGCACTATGACCAAAGTAATATGTTTCCATAGTAACATTGTACTACTTTGGGGAAGTGATCAGTATTTTTTTTTTTTTTTACACAATTTGCATATCGCTAAAAATTACTTTGCTATAAGCAAGCATTTACCCTAATGAAATAGATTCTTTCAGGGGTTTTTTTTGTGATTAGCTGTGATTTGGCCACGGCTAATCACATAACACAGCTGGGCTGTGATTGGCCCAGCTTGTGCACGTGATCGTTGTGACCATTCACAGCTAGACACACTTGTATACAATGGATGGCATGAAAGGAAGCCACCCATTGTATACAACCGTCATGTGACCTGCTGTGATTGGTCACAGCAGGTCACATGGTACTGGCAACGGGGCCGGTACTCAGATCTGTCATCGGCCATGTCTGAGGTACATGGCCGGTGACAGGTTGCGCCGCTGCGTGGCTCTGCAAGCGCGCGAACTGCCATATGGCGTCCTCCCGGAAAGCTAGTACATTTTTCAGGATGCCAAACGGCTATTGGCTGGGCGTCAAATGGTTAAAGAGTAGTGGTTAATGATCCATACTCTGAATGGTCTAGGGTTGTCAGTGGTGTACCCCAAGGATCAGTGTTGGGACCCTTACTTTTTAATATATTTATAAACGATATAGGGTTTGGGATTAAAAATCCCATTTCAGTCTTTGCAGATGACACCAAGCTGTGCAGTGGAATAACGTCCTTACAGGATGTCTCCAATTTACAAGCCAACCTCAATGCACTGTTTAATAGGGCAACTATGTGGCAAATGAGGTTTAATGTTGATAAATGTAAGGTTATGCACTTGGGGGCTAAGAATATGCATGTATCATACATACTAGGGGGGGTACAACTGGGGGAATCAATGGTGGAGAAGGATCTGGGGGTTCTGGTAGATCACAAGCTTAATAATGGCATGCAATGCCAAGCTGTGGTTTCTAAAGCGAGCAAAATCCTCTCTTGTATTAAAAGAGGTATAGACTCCAGAGAGAGAGATATCATTTTACCCCGGTACAAATCATTAGTAACACCTCATCTGGAATATGAAGTTCAGTTTTAGGAACTGGAAAAAGTACAGAGAAGGGCAACCAAACTGATAAGAGGCATGGAGGAGCTCAGCTATGAGGAAAGATTAGAGGAACTGAATTTATTCTCTCCTGAGAAAAGGAGATTAAGGGGGATATGATCTCCATGTATAATACATAAGGGGGATATGATCAACATGTATAAATACATAAGGGGGATATGATCTCCATGTATAATACATAAGGGGGATATGATCTCCATGTATAAATACATAAGGGGGATATGATCTCCATGTATAATACATAAGGGGGATATGATCTCCATGTATAATACATAAGGGGGATATGATCTCCATGTATAATACATAAGGGGGGATATGATCTCCATGTATAATACATAAGGGGGGGATATGATCAACATGTATAAATACATAAGGGGGGATATGATCTCCATGTATAATACATAAGGGGGGATATGATCTCTATGTATAATACATAAGGGGGGGATATGATCTCCATGTATAATACATAAGGGGGGGATATGATCTCCATGTATAATACATAAGGGGGGATATGATCTCCATGTATAAATACATTAGTGGTTCATATAGTGAACTCACTGTAGAGCTATTCACCCTGAGGTCATCACAGAGGACAAGGGGGCACTCTTTACGTCTGGAGGAAAAGAAATTTAATCTCCAAACACAGAAAGGTTTCTTCACAGTGAGAGCTGTGAAAATGTGGAATAGACTCCCTCAAGAGTTGGTTCTGACCAACTCAGTAGATTGCTTTAAAAAAGTCCTGGATTCTTTCTTAGATACACAGAATATAACTGGATACTAACATTTAAAGGTAAAGTTGATCCAGAGAATATCAGATTGCCTCTCGGGGGATCAGGAAGGATTTTTTTCCCTGCAAGAGAAAATTGGATCATGCTTTGCTGGGTTTTTTTTTGCCTTTCTCTAGATCAGGGGTCCTCAACCTTTTTAAACAGGGGGCCAGTTCACTGTCCCTCAGACTGTTGGAGGGCTGGACTATAACAAATACGGACACAGTACAGGAGATGACCAGAGACTGCAGGCATACAACGGCGGCAGGAATACTGGGCCGGCCGCTCCATAAGACGCACAGACATTTCCCCCCAAGTGTGTCTTATGGAGCGAAATAGTGCCCCATCATTGGTGTCAGTGGGAAGAATCGTGCCCCATCATTAGTGTCAGTGGGAGGAATAGTGCCCCATCATTGGTGTCAGTGGGAAGAATCGTGCCCCATCATTGGTGTCAGTGGGAGGAATAGTGCCCCATCATTAGTGTCAGTGGGAGGAATAGTGCCCCATCATTGGTGTCAGTGGGAAGAAACGTGCCCCATAATTGGTGTCAGTGGGAGGAATAGTGCCCCATCATTAGTATCAGTGGGGGGAGGAATAGTGCCCCATCATTAGTGTCAGTGGGAAGAGGAATAGTGCCCCATTGTTGGTGTCAGTTTGGGGAGGGGAATAGTGCCCTGTCATTGGTGTCAGTGGGGAAAGGGGATAGTGTCCCAACATTGGTGTCAGTGGGAGGAATAGTGTCCCATCATTGGTATCAGTGGGAGGAAGTGTCCCATCATTGGTGTCAGTGGGAAGAAAAGTGCCCCATCTTTGGTGTCAGTGGGGGGGAATAGTGCCCCATCATTGGTGTCAGTGGGGGGGATAGTGTCCCAACATTGGTGTCAGTGGGAGGAATAGTGTTCCATCATTAGTGTCAGTGGGGGAAGGAATAGTGTTCCATCATTGGTGTCAGTGGGGGGTGGAATAGTGCCCCATCGTTGGTGTCAGTGGGGGGAGGAATAGTGCCCCATCGTTGGTGTCAGTGGGGGGAGGAATAGTGCCCCATCGTTGGTGTCAGTGGGGGGAGGAATAGTGCCCCATCGTTGGTGTCAGTGGGGTGAGGAATAGTGCCCCATCGTTGGTGTCAGTGGGGGGGGGGAGGAATAGTGCCCCATCGTTGGTGTCAGTGGGGTGAGGAATAGTGCCCCATCGCTGGTGTCAGTGGGGGGAGGAATAGTGCCCCATCGTTGGTGTCAGTGGGGGGAGGAATAGTGCCCCATTGTTGGTGTCAGTGGGGGGAGGAATAGTGCCCCTGATTGGTGTCAGTGGGAGGAATAATGCCCCATCATTAGTATCAGTGACACCAATGATGGGGCACTATTCCTCCCACTGACACCAATGACACTTAACTTGCTGACCCCTGTTCCAGCATGGTACTGCTGCAGCCAGCATACCTAGTTGCAGCAGCACCATCTGCACGGCATACTTACCTGTCAGCTGTCCTTCTTCACTCTGGCCACTCCCTCACTCGATGTTCGTGGGGCCGCTCGGCTCCGCCTCCTTGACGGTGATTGGCCACATGTGTGCCTTTCCTGAGCTACAGTTCTGGCGCCCAATCACCAGTGAGGAGGCAGAGCCGAGTGGCAGCACGAACATCAAGTGAGGGAGTGGCTGGAGTGAATGAAGGAGCAGCGCTTCCTGGACTGGATCGTCGTGGGACTGGCGGGCTGGATAAATGTCCTCGGCGGGCCGCATGTGGCCCGCAGGCCGTAGTTTGAGGACCCCTGCTCTATATCAACTGTGAGTATAGGATTATAACTTTTTTTTTTTTAAATAGTTGAACTGGATGGACTTTTGTCTTTTTTCAGCCAGACTAACTATGTAATCATTGTGGTAACTGCATGAGTCTGTGATTTAGGTTGGGTTATTGTATATCATCTGGATGACTTAACAGGTTGTGGCTCTATCACCTCCTCCTGAAGGTTCCATGGTCCTGGAGGACCATGGAACCTTCCAGAAGTTGGTAATCAGGAAGGGGTAGAGACCTAAGCTGCATGTTGTTGGGAGTCTGGCCAATCCCAGGTAGCAGGCCCTGGTAGAGTGGTGGAATGGTCCATAAATAGGAGAGAGTCAGGCTGGGGGAGGTGATCGGTGGAAGATGGAGTGCTGAGGAGACTGTTGGTGCCTGGAAGGGGTCCCCTGTGTCGGGGGGGGGGGGGGCAACCTCCAGGCTGGGCTAAAGCTGGCTCAGGAAGATACATGTAGCAGTGCAGAGTGAATGGGATTGAGATCTGGAGCAGTGGGAGCAAAGATGACAGAGTGAGTATATCAGCATGCCCTAGGATCCACAAGATGAAAGACTGCCATATGTAGCAAGCTTTCACAGGACAGCGCTGGGCTCAATCCTTTATCCTCATCCCGGGAGATCTTCTCACCCCTTCTTTCTCCGCCCGTATCACCCACCTACTGAACGACATATCGGACTGGATGTCGCTCCACTTCCTCAAACTGAACCTTTCCAAAACCAAGCTCCTAATTTTCCCCCCTGCCCGCACACCCCCCCCCCACCCTCTCCATCACGACCAACAACGCTACCATCAGTCCCACCACGCAAGCCAAGGTCCTAGGTGTCATCCTAGACTCTTCCTAACCTGTCCTTCCAACCCCATGCCCAATCGCTGACTACCGCATGCAGGTTCCACCTCCGCAACATCTCCAAAATACGCTCGTTCCTAACCTCAGACACTACTAAACAACTCGTTTACTCCCTTATTATCTCACGCCTGGACTACTGCAACTCCCTTCTCATCGGCCTACCCCAAAACAAGCTATCCCCACTCCAGTCTATCCTGAACTCAGCGGCCAGACTCATCCACCTTACCAACTGATCTACTTCTGCCACCCCCCCTCTGTCATTCCCTCCACTGGCTCCCGATTGCCCAACGCATCAAATTCAAACTACTAACACTGACATACAAAGCCATTCATAACGGTGCCCCAAACTACCTCACCGACCTGATACCCGAATACCACCCTACCCGTAATCTTCGCTCCTCACAAGACCTCCTACTCTCTAGCTCCCTGGTCTACACCTCCCACGCCCGACTGCAGGACTTCTCCAGAGCTTCCCCCATCCTCTAGAACTCACTCCCCCAATCCATCAGATTGTCCCCTACCCTCCTCACCTTTAGGCGCACCTTGAAAACCCATCTCTTCAGGGAAGCCTACCCCACCCTCACCTAACAGCCGATCCCCTCCACTCCTCACTCCATTCCATCCCCCACAGCCATCTGCTCCTGTATCACCATCCCCTCCCTCCTAGACTGTAAGCTCAAAAGGGCAGGGCCCTCTAACCCTCATGTATCGTGTATTGTTTTGCTACTGTATTGTCTCATGTCTTGTCCCCCATTCTAATGTACAGCACTGAGCAAACCCTTTGCAACTATATAAATACTCTATAATAATAATAATAATCTTCTAAGCAGCCAGGAGGGCTGGTAGTGTCTGTAGGCTGTGGAGCAGGTAGCAGTTCTACTGGGGAGAGGAGACATCTCTGCATGTAGTTGCAACAAGCTAAGCTGATTTAGAAGAGCTGCTAGTTCCTCACCCATAAAGGGCTGTTGCTACTGATCCACAAAGTTATCCCCCATCACTGATTCAAGCCAAAATAGGCATCCCATAATCCCCATTTCCCTATCCAAGTTATTTCTCCTAATAGAATAGAAAAACCATGCCTATGGACTGGTTACTGTCTCTTGGATGCAAGTCTGTGAGAAAAAAAGCCTGTTGCCTGGCTGTGCAGAGCTTAGAGGTACCCACAACACAGCAGCCCTCAGGAGGGTAGCGCTACACCAATATCCTGATCACCCCATACACCATACCAGTATGCGGATCACCGCCATGCCCCATACCAGGATCCTAATTACTGCTATACCCCATACTAGCGTCCTGATCACCACCATACTCCACACCAGCGTTCTGATCACCACCATAACTCATGTGAACGTCGTGATCTCTGCCATACCCCATACCAGCATCCTGATCACTGCCAAACATCATACCAGCGTCTGGCATTTTAGGGTCTCAACTGAACAATTTTCAAATATATATCCTATAGTTTGCAGACTCTATAACTTTCACACAGACTAAATAATATACACAGTTTTGGGTTATTTTTACCCCAAAAAATGTAGCAGAATACAATTTGGCCTACAATTATGAAGAAAAACTATTTGCTATTTTTTTAACAAAAACCAAGCATAAAATGTTTTTTTTCAAAATGTTCTGCATCTTTTCATTTTTATAGCAAAAAAACAAAATTGTGAAAATTTCATATGGGTACAGTGTTGTATCATTGGAAGTGGGTCAAAGTGTCCAGACTTGAAGTGGTTAAAGACTCTCCAGATCCAACTTCACATTGCCAGAACCTTTAAGCTGACATGGTGACATTGTAAGCACATTTCCTAAACTCAGTGCATCGTCTAAGCAAGTCGTCAGGCCCTTCCTGAGAAACCAGCCTTCTTCCTGGCTTTCTGCAGCAATATTCTTCCCTGGGTCCTCTCCTTGACACAGCTTTTTCCATCACCAGGCAAGACAGCTTCAAGACCACTTTAGACTAATCTCCATATTCAGTATATGTTAGGCCCAACACAGACTTTTTAGCCTAACAGCAAGTTCCATCCAGCAGCACCTCCCCATGCCTCAGCCTGGGGGAAGAGAAAGATCACAAGACCTGTCCCAAATATTTATATATTCCCCCAGCATACACCTGTGGCCATGAACCTCCTACTGGGCTGACTGAAGGAAATCTGAATATTTAAACTCAGTCTTGATATAAAGTCTCTACTATCTACTACTGCCAGTGGTACCAGTGACACCTACTTGCAGCAGTGAGAAATCACAACCTTGAGGTTAGGAAAAGATCTAATGAAAAACTATACCTGGGCAAACTACTAACCAGTCAAAAATGAAATTTACCTAGTAGCCCGTTTAGGTAAAATTGCATCTATATATTACTTATAATTAATATTAACCAGTTGCCGCACAGCCTATAGCCAGATGGTGGCCGGGCAAACAGCTCGTCCATCCGGGGGTGGATGCCATATGGTGGCCTTTCCGGAACGTGCATTGCGCATGCCCGCAGGGCCGTGCTGTGGCGAAATCTGTCGCCGGCCGTGTACCTCGGACACGGCCGATGACAGATCTGTGTACCGACCCCGTTGCCAGTACCATGTGACCTGCTGTGACCAATCACAGCAGGTCACATGACGGTTGATACAATGGGTGGCTTCCTTTCATGCCATCCATTGTATACAAGTGTGTCTAGCTGTGAATGGTCACAGCGATCACGTGCACAAGCTGGGCCAATCACAGCCCAGCTGTGTTATGTGATTAGCCGTCGCCAAATCACAGCTAATCACAAAAAAAAAACCCCTGAAAGAATCTATTTCATTAGGGTAAATGCTTGCTTATAGCAAAGTAATTCTTAGCGATAAGCAAATTGTGTAAAAAAAAAAAATACTGATCACTTCCCCAAAGTAGTACAATGTTACTATGGAAACATATTACTTTGGTCATAGTGCAATATAAAAAAAAAATCTTGAAAAAAGAGAAAAAAAATTAATAAAACATTTTAAATAATAAATAAATAAATAAAATCAATTCTTTTTTTTTTTTTTCGTACTTTTACCAGTGTCCCCGATTACCGCCATGCCAGTTATTTGATGATACTGCACTGCACTGGTGACAGTATGTAAAAAAAAATAGTGAAAATAATTATTTAAATTTCTTCATTTTCCGAAAAATTATGACAAAAAAAAAAATTACAACTTCAAAAAACTCGCCATGCCTGTTATGAAACTGTCGGACTGTCTACTTTGCAAAAAG